GAAACCACCCAAAAGGCTCCCGGGCAAGGTGCTCTGCAGACCGCACCAGGGACTAGCCCTCCTCCTGCCGAGCCAAAGTGCTGGGCAAAGGCAGATGTGCCGCCAGGTAGAGAGCACTGCATGGAGAGCGCGGCCGTCTCAGACCTCCAGAGCTTGTTTGATGATGACTCCACGTTCTCCCAGCTGTTCCCCCGGGATGACCAGTTTGTCCGGAGAAAGTGCACACGGGTGTATGGGAAGCGCAGCAAGAAACCCAAGGCCATCACTGAGGTGAACCTCCAGCCAGCAGGTGCCATTGACCTCTTCACAATCCAATTAGCTTCTGACCTCAGTGAAACCAGCTCCTTCTGTGTCACCAGGGAGGACCCTTGCGAATACGAAACCATCTCTGTCGATGATGCCTTAATGCTAAACATGTGTCACAGCAGCAAGGTGAAGAGTGGAGATGCTGCTCCCAGTGCATCTAAAAGCATTGCACCGAGGTCAGATTGTGAGAAGATCAACCAAGGGAAGGAGGACATTGACCTGGAAGACAACATGCTAACCTTCTTGTGCCAAAACAGCCAAGTGGACAATGTCCCCAGCTTGAACATCTGGGGGAATCTGGAGAAGGAAGGAGAAAGCCTCTCTGCCGAGGACATGTTTGAGCCTCTGATGGACCTTGAGGATGAGCACTCGCTCAGAGAAGCGAGCTCGGAGCCCCCTGACCTGGCGGAGGAGCCCTACAATGACAAGGCTAATGAAGATTCAGACTCTCCCGAATTTCATACCATCGACATTGAGATGCTGAACGCAAAGCTGAAAATGAGAGACATGTGTTTCTTCGGCCCTTGCGAAGATCTTCCTGGCCACGGGGAGGACAATCCTGTGAGTTTCAAGCCAAAGCCAGGCCAGCACAGCAAGCACAGAAGTAAGCTAGAAGATGGGAAGCTGGGGAAAAACCGCAGTGAGATAACCATCAAGGCCAAAGACAAGCAGTACAAATGCAAAGTCTGCTTCCAGTGGTTCCTGACATTAGGGGAGCTGGACTTCCACAAGCTCTCCCATAACCCTTCCCCTCCACCTACCTGCTACATGTGTGTCCAGCGCAAATTCAGCTCCCGGGAGCAGCTGAGGGACCACCTGAAGGAGAAGCACGCCAAAAACAAAGCTGGTCTGTGGGCTTGTGGGATGTGCCTGAAGGAGATCTCCGATGTCTGGATGTACAACGAGCATCTCCGGGAGCACGCCACCCAGTTCGCTCGCAAGGGGCAAGCGCAGAAGTCTGTGATGGGCCTGCCAGCCTGTTTCAGTGAGGACAATGCCGCTGTCACCCACTTCCTCAACACCATCATGTATCGGAAGCCCAGCAGGTCCTCCCGGCACGCCAACTCCAGCAGCAAGCATGCGGTTAGCAGAGAGAGCAAGAGCCCCAAGGAGCTGCCCCTCGAGCAGGAGGGCAAGGCGATGAAAGACCCCTTGGAAAGCAACGTCAAGGTGAAGCCACCTGCACCCAGCTCCTCTAAAGCATCCGCCAGTCCGTCTCCAGAGCAGATGGCAAAAAGCGAAGGCACCCCAAAATCTGTCCCCATGCACCCAGACTGCAAGGATCCTTCCAGGGACTGTCATCATTGTGGCAAACAGTTTCCCAAACCCTTCAAGCTCCAACGGCACTTAGTCGTGCACAGTTTACAGAAGATTTACTTGTGCCACAAGTGTCCGATGTTCTACCAGGAGACCAAAGAGCTTCGAAACCACCTCAGCCAGGAGCATGGGATAGTGGAGGAGCAGGAGATCAAGCACACCACCCTGTACGCGTGCGAGCTCTGCGCAGATGTCATGCATGTCATCAAGAAGTCCTTCATCTGCAGCATGTGCAACTACACCTTCTCCAAGAAAGAGCAGTATGACCGGCACATGGAGAAGCACCTGGCAGGAAGCAACAAGACTTTCAAATTCAGAGGGGTCATGAGGCCTGGCATTGCCTCCAGAGAGGGCAGGGAGAAGACGAAAGAGGACAGCTCTCTCCGGGAGGGCATGCCACCAAGCAAGAAGAGGAAGATTGCTCACCATGGCAGCTCACTCCCACACGGCTCACCGGTCCACCTGGACCACACTAGTGACCTTCAGTTGGCAGAGGCTGCAAGCCCCAGCCTTCAAGCTCCCACTGACTCCTTGCCTACAGCAACTGGTAACCCAGGAGCACCCCAGCCCTCTGTGAAAACAGAAGACCTAGTGGGTGACTTCTCTGACCTTCTGGTGGAGATGGAGAAATCCCAGTTTGACACCGTGCCTCCACCACCTTGCCTTTCCCCATCTTTGCCACAGGCTGTGGCGAGCAGTCCGGAGCTTGGCCATATCGCTGCCCTGTCTATGGAGGAGCTGGAGAAAGGAGCGTTTGATGGGAAACCGCTTCCTTTCTTGGACTCGCCTGAGTTTACCATTGACCTTGCCGGGTTGGCTTGTAACCAGGCCACAGATCAAAAACTCTCTCCTCCACACCTGACTGAGAACCGTGGCTACACCGATACCCATAAAAGAACAAGCGTAGGCAACAAAGAGGAAAACATAGCAGGTGTCCTGGAAAATCCCGATGCAGCCACTGACACCACAGATGGGATCCCCTTTCTCCAGCTTGCCAAGAATGTCTCAGAGCTTCCTGCCCTGCCATCAGAGGCTCCACTGGCCAAGGAGACCCACAGGTGGGGCAACCCCAGTGCCAGCGATGCCTCTTCTTGGGAAGGAGCATCTAAGACCACATCTCCCGAAGCTGCCCACCATCCCCCACCCCTGAAGGACAAGACGGCATCACCCACACTGAACAGGGCTGACAAAGATTCAACCCTGCAGAAGAAGACCATGAGTAACCAGACCAGCAGTGAGGCTGCTCCTGGCTTGGGCAGCCCCAGCAGCAGCACAGAGGACAGTCAGCAACCCATCTCGGGGAAGGAGAAACCCGTGCCTGAGGCTAAGGACAGCAGCACTAATGCCAAGGACCAAGGCAGCAACCCAAGCAAATCCACCGGCCACCAGCCCAGAGGTGAGGCAGCCAGCAACACCATGAGACATGGCCACGTGGAGCCGAGCAAAGCCGCTGGCAAGCTTCACCCCAAGAGACGGAAAGAGCACAAGTCCTTGAGCCACCGGAGCAGCTCCGGCTCCCGGGAGAACATGGAGGGAGACGGGAAAAAGAAAAAAGCCCGGACCCCATGCCCAGGAAGGAGTGAGAGCACTGGCGAGCTCAAACATGCTGGCTGGAGCAACGCCGAAGCTTCTGCCCTCTCCCCGGGGAGGAGGGAGACACACTGCAACAAACTGGTACCCAAGCCCAAAACGGGCACCCAACTGAAGAAGATGGTCCTGGACACTTACAACCAGAAGAAGGGGGAGCTCCGTCACGCCAATGGGGACATGAAGCGCAGGAAGGCCATTCTGGGGAAGAGCCTCCACCAAGTGTTGGCCAAGGGGCCGGCACCATCCCCGCGCAGTTCCTTGCACAGCCCGCGCGCCGCCCGGGGTGCCAAGCCGGCCGGCTCGGCCAGCTACCGCACCGCCGAGTCCCAGAACAACCTGCTAAGCCAACTCTTTGGGCAAAAATTAACTAGCTTTAAAATTCCTTTAAGAAGAGATACTTCAGAGTAATTTATGGAAGTGACTTATGGTGATCCTCAGCTGCTTTCATGGGGTTTGCAAGGGAAAAATTATCAAAGCATTAAATTCGTTTGTGTAGCATGATTTCTCTGTCTAGCTTAAATGAACTTGCACTGCAGCCTCTGTGAAATAGTTTGCTTTGTGTCTACTAATCTACTTTAATTCACCTGATTTATCATGCAAATGCTAGAACTTTGATGTTGCTGATGATTTTCATGAACTGAAATTGTAATCGCTTTGGGCAGACTGAATCGTCGAGAGCAATTGCTTTATTGCAGAAGTGCTGAGGTTATAAGGATACTTGCAAATCTCAGACCCTTTTGAGACTGTGTCTGTGTTATCTTTGTACAAAGTACTTGAAGAGATGAACTTCATTCCGTAGACGTCTTATTCATAAGGTGCAGTACACTGTAGAAAGCAAATTTTTTTTTTGAAGATTTTGCACAAATAATCCCGTACAATTCATTTAATTGGGAGCTGGCCTAAGAGATGATACAATTTAAAAAAAAAAATTAAATTAAGAATGGAGTGTCCTATATTTTGACAGCCATCCCTATGAATTTGTTTCTACATCGTCAAGAGAATAACGAACTGGCTCTGGGGCTGCCGGGGCTGTCGGAGCCCTTCAGAGGATGCTGCCACTCTTTGACCACTGTAGACGATGTAACCGGAGGAGAGCTGCCACCGCGAGCAAACTGCACCTTGACACTTGTGACAAACTCTGATTTTTTAGGGTTTTTATGTGTGTGTGTGTGTGTGTGTGTGTGTGTGTGTGTTTTCTTTTTGTTTGGGGGGAGGAGGGGGTTGCGCATCAACAAAACTGTGCCAATTTACCGCACCAAACCGGTACTGTGCGAGTGCCCTCAATGGTATCACTTCTAAACTATCTTACTGTATTGAGTTAGTGGCTATATAGGTATCCGCTTTTTACTATGCAGTTACTGGTGCTATTCTTGTTTTGTAATGTGAATACAGACTTCCTTGATTGAAAAATAAAAGGGAACCATTAGGAAGTAGCCGTTACCTGTAAAAGAAAACGAAGCAGGAAAAAAAAATTTTAAAAAATCCAACTTTAGGGGAAAAAAAAAAAAAAAATCCTGTATGCTGGAACTCCATAGTGTCAAAAAGGTTACGTCACGTTAAACGAGCACGTTATACAACCGAACTTTTGAATCTGGAAAGAAATCTCAGGTGCAAATGAGGACATGGAAGATAGCTAAATACTATTGAAATACTCCCAAGTCAAGGAGGTGAAGTAATGCACTGATGTGATATGAACAGTCAGAGTACTTTGCGTCTGTCCTGCAATTATTATTTTTGTTTTGTTTTAGATTTAAAAGGAAAAAAAAGAGGCTTTATTCTGTTAATATGTATCTTTACAATTCTTTGTATTGTATAAAAATATTGTAGGTAATTTACCTTGGGTGCAATGTGTTCTGTCAAAAGTTTTTATTTTGATATTTTGTCAGAGAAACAGAAAGAGAGCAGGAAACGCGGTTTTATGATGTTGTATGTGTGCTTTTAAAGTGCCTCTTTAATATTGTTAAATAAAGTATGAGATGAAAATATGGGGTGGTACTGTAAAATCATACATGATTAATCTTTTCAAATATATTCCAATATTTTCACAGAAATTTCCTGTCTGCGTGATGTTTGTCCTGGTTGTGTCCCGTACCCCGCGGTCCTCGTGGTTCTCTCCTCCCACGCACATCTCTAACAAAACGATATTTCTAATTGACAGTTGGATGCTCCGTACATCTTCGTGGTGTCCTCTGTAAAGTGGCCGCAGGAGGACATTGGTGCAGCTGCCATCAGTTTTCAATCATTTGCAAAGCAGTGGAGCTTCTCAATGGTGAAGATGCCCATGCATCTCCTCTTCCCCACTGCATCTTGCCCGACTCCTACTCATGGCACGGGTGTCTTGTCCCATGGGGGGGGGGGAGCCTAATGTGATGGTGATGGCCCAGTTTGGTCATCACCAGCTGGTGATGGTGATGGCCCAGTGTGGTCATCATCGATTGGTGATGATGGTGATGGTGATGGTGATGGTGATGGCCCAGTGTGGTCATCACCAACTGATGATGGTGATGGCCCAGTGTGGTCATCAGCAAGTGATGATGGTGATAGCCCAGTGTGGTCATCACCAATTTGTCCTCAAGCTGACCTCTGCCAGCACAGCGCTGAGGTCTGAAGGTAGGAGGCTGACACAAAGCCGGGCATATTATATTCTTTAATTACTGTTGCAATCATAACATTTAAATGCTGTCAATGAGAGATAGCTCCTAACCGCGGGCTAGAATCCTTGCCACTTGGGGCTTGTAACTAAAACTGCAGGATTAATTTGATTAATTGATAGAATTATTTTCCAAACTACTCTTTTGTTTATGGAGGCTTAAAATGCTTGCCGCCTGCACCCTCCTGGTGTGTTGCAGAGTGGAGATAAAGTGGCTGAAAATAATTAGTATGGCTTAATTTAGGGAAAAAAATAACCTCAAAAGAATTTTGCAGAAAATTTAAGGCGGCACATTTTACTTTGTTTTGGCAGGAAATATTATGGAGCTGGAAATGGGACTTTTATGTTTTCCCCTCTCCTATATTTCACCAGGGCTGCAAACCTACGGGGGCGGAGGAGTATTTCATGCCTGGTTTTTACTGTAGCTCTCCCGCGCCTTCAGATTCATAACCTTGGCCACCTGGAAATGAAGTCCCCTGGGAGCCACAGCTTTACTTCAGGGGATGGGACCTGTCCCCGTGGCCCCGGGCAGAGTGCGGGGACACCGTCCTAAAGCGGTCCCCACCTTATTGCAGCACAGGCCACGAGCGATGCTCCCCTCGGGTACCGCTCCCTCCCGAACGCTGCTCCCCGGAGAGATGCTAACATCATCCCTGCAGCCCTGAAGGCTGAAATATTTAATCCTTCCCTTTCCCCTCTAAGTGAGAGTGGAGGGGTTCCCCCCCCTCCCCATCCTCTCCCACCTGCCCTCACCCACATCCCCCTCCCACGATCTCAGTGCCTGCGAAGTGGGTGACTCCCCCCTGGTCCATCAGGTCCCCTCAGCTCCCGAAAACCCCCAGCTTTGCCGAGTCCTGCATTATCCTGCAGCCCTTGACATTTGGGAGATTGCAGACCCCCATCAACGGAATTCCGGCGAGGAAGGCAAAGCCGGGTGGCTTCTCCCACCTGCAGATTAACTCGCTGCTCAGCAGGTGACAGCGGCACAGGGGGGGCACCCACAGGACCCGGCACGTCCGGGGGTCCCAGGGCCGCATCCTATTGGGATGCACGACTGGTCTGCACCATCCTCAGCCCCAGTCTATACCCTCTGCGGATGGGGACAGCCCCACA